TCACTTTTTTGGTTATAAATTCTAATCTTTCTATTTTCTTTTTCACCTTAAACTTCTTTAAAATAAAACCTCTTTTTGATAGAAAAGGACCGCTCATTAGAGAAATAGTCACTTTAGTTGATAATTAGCCATCTTTTCAGAAATTGAATGGTTTCCATTTAGAAATGATCTAGTAGATATAAATGCTGTCTCACACATGGAGCTTTCCCCTCTATTTAAATATGTCATAAGGGCCTCAGAAGAAGAATAATCCTTTATTGTTAGGGCCTAGTTTGAATATCGCAAGTTGCTGTAGTACCTAATTGAATATACCAATTCTTGTATCTGCCCAAGAAGCCTTAATTTAGATTAGGTTTATTCTTTTAAAGTTGTTTTGGCTTGTTGATTTGAAAATACGTCCTTTTTAACTTTGTTTTCTCAGAAAATGTGATAGCAATATAAAGGGATTTATTTGAATATTGACCGTGTTGTTTGCCGTAGCTTTGCTTTCTGTCCTGTTTTTTAAATTGAACACCTCGGTTAATCACTTACTCTGTGTATTTTCCCCTTTGTCTCTCACCACATCCTCCCTACCTGTTTAACCCTGGATTAACCATCTGCTCTCCCTTTCTTTTTTTAAAAAAAGTTTTCATTTGCTTTTTAGTTTTAATTATGGTAAAATGCACATAACGTGCAAATACACACCTAGGTTATTTCCACCTGAGACACAGGCCAACAAACAAAAGCAAATGGATTGAACCTTCTGTATGCCACATTTTCTTTTAGCTTGACCCTGTGTTTTTTTCTTGGTGCACAGCTGTGTGCCTCAAAAGAACTCCCTGCAGCACTTATTGCCTGGCTTTGTTAGCTTTTCCTTCTTTCTTTGGGCCACTGAAGTCAGGCTTCCGCTTGCCCAGCTCCTCTGAAGGCACCTCGTAAAAAGTCACTGGTTCGTGGGTTGCCTGATCTAGTGGCCTCTCTCTGGCGTCATTGTACGTGACCTTCCTACGGCACTTAACACCAGCCACTTCCTTCTTCACGAAACTCTTCCTTTGCTTTCTGCTGCCCTGATTTTCCTGCCTCTGGTACAGTCTTGTCCTTTGCGGCCCCTCTTAAATGGTGACGCTCCCTGACGCTTACTCCCCTCCCGTAGTCTCATCTATCTGCATGCTTTTAATCCTCACTTAAACACAGCTAATTCTGAAACCTGAGTCTTCCACCCAGATCCTTCTTTTGAGTCCAGGCCCACATAACATAATCCTTGTAACAGACTTACAAAGTAGTTACCGTTTTCCATGTTTGCTATGCGAAGTCGCTTCAGTCGTGTCCGACTCTGTGCGACCCCATGGACAGCAGCCCACCAGGCTCCTCCATCCACAGGATTCTCTAGGCAGGAATACTGGAGTGGGTTGCCATTTCCTTCTCCATATTTACAGGTGAGGAAATTGAAACTCAGGGATGTTTGGTAACCTGTTTGGAGATCAAGCAGTCAGTGGAAGAGCCAGGATTTGAAGCTCTGTCTCAAAGTGAGGCTTTCAATGCTTTGCATGCATATGTGCTCAGTTGTGTCTGACTCTGCGACTCTCTGGACTGCAGGCCACCAGGTTCCTCTGTCCATGGGATTCTCCAGGCAAGAATACTGGAGTGAGTTGCCATTTCCTTCTCCAGGGGATCTTCCCTGACCAGGGATCGAACCCCCTGCGCCTCCTGCGTTGGCAGGTGGGTGCTTTCCCACTGAGCCACCTGAGAAGCCCGTGGGCTGCTATAATACGCTATTACTCAGACAGCTGCACCTGGCTCTCTGTCAGATAAGTATGTCGTGTCCCGTACCAGATGCCATCTCATAATTCCATTCTCGCTGCTCCCTCCCCGCCCCCCGGCCCTCACAAAACCAACAGGGGGACTATGAAGCCTGTATTCTCATCTCAGTGCCTGGCATTCCCTCTTCATTATCCAAGCCAGAATGTGCACAGGCAGTTGACATAAACTTCATTCTGTCTCCATCCTACAGGCCTAGCTCCATCATCCTTCTGTTTCCATCATCCAGCCCAACAAAGCATCAGTTCCTGTGTATTCTTACTCTTTAACATGACTTGTCATCCATCTTTCCCTCTTTTTCACTTCCACTGCTTCTGTCCTAGTTGTTAACTTCGTATCCACCTGAGTTGCCTGTAATGCTGATAATCCAGCCCATTGCTTCTCATGTTACCTGAGCTGGAGAATCAAGGTTCCTTGTTTTTTGTGGTTTTTAATTTTTAATCTGTTGTGGAAATTTTGTATCATATAAAAAATGAATCATTGGAAAATTGAAAATATAAGCTCCATTTTTAAATTACTGAATTTGTTAAATATAACATTACTATCAATCTGCTAAAAAAGTTTTTAAATATCAATATTCTTCATGTAGCCTATCACAGATGGATAACAGTTTGCAGATTGGTGCTGGTCCACAGACAACATCAAGGAGCACCAGTTCATAGTATCTGATGAAAAGAAATGTCTTCCGTTTTCTTAGATCATAACCACGTGGGCCTATGTTGTTTAAAACCGAAATAGTTCAACTAGAACCTTCTTTGCTTTGGGCTTATAGATAGCTTGTAAATGTGGATTTAAGAAGTTTTAGAAAATTTCCAGTTTCTTTAGGATCCCTTCTTTAAATACAAAAAAAAAAAAATCCCTTTAGAGCAAGGGGTAATCATGTGTTACACTCAAATTTTAATGCTGAGATCAAAGTGTACTCATTTAAGAACCCAAAGCAAGATTTCTTAAATAGATTTGGAAGTACAGTCTTCATGGACTACCTGTAATAAAAGTATTTTTCCTTGGTTTGATATATTTAACTTGATATGATTGTACATGCATACAAAAGTTTGCTTCTAGTATGCAGTAAAAGTATAGCAGAACAGTTGATGTGTTCTATTTCTGAAAGTTTAAAATTCCACATACGTATTAATCTGATTGGATGATAAATAATTAAAGTAAGTTATCTGGATGTTGGCAGGGATCTGACTAAGCCCCAGTCAAAAAATTGGAAGTTAATGAAGCGCAGACAGGAGATGCTAAAACGGTCAGTCTGCAGGATACCCCTTGGCTTTAAACAGGGCATGGCTGAGGAATCAAAGACACAAAGACAGAGTTCTCAGGGGGTGGATTCAGGTATGGGAATGGTCTAAATTATTAGGCTGAGATTATACCTGCAGTTAGTTTAGACATTTATTAAATTAAACTGTACTGCTCAAACCCCATGGTTGTCTGCGTCAGTTCTGAGAGAACACATGGGCAAATGCCTAAGAGAACATAATCGGCCCAGAGGAGGTAAAAAAGTCAGAATGGCCTTCTAATGAAAAAGCAAATGAAGCAACTGATCTGCACCACTGTACCAGGTACTTAAAATGACCACAGGAGGTGGGAGGGGGGTTCAGGATAGGAGGACACATGTTCACCCCTGGCTAATTCATGTCTATGTATGGCAAAAGCCACCACAATATTGTAAGTAACTATCCTCCAATTGAAATAATTAATTAAATTAAAAAGAAAACTACCACAGAAAGTTTCTAACCACTGAGATTTTATTAAAAGTTTTACAAAAAAGTTTTTGAGTTCCATTATATCTGTATTTGCTCTGTTAATGAAGTCTGTGAGTCTCAAACACAATCAGCTATCAAAACAAAACATAATTATGTCAACAAGAAGTTGGAACACTGAAGGATATTTAGGAGATTAAATTCCCAAAGCAGAATGTTATAACTGTCACCATTTTTCCATTTCTAGATCATTCATATGAGATGGGTGGATGGCAGATTGCTGAACCCATATACCTAGAAAGTGATTAAAAGTTTTATTCAAAGAAAACTATAAAAGTAGCATCAGTCAGTCAGTTCAGTCGCTCAGTCCTGTCCGACTATTTGTGACCCCATGGACTGCAGTACACGAGGCCTCCCTGTCCATCACCAGCTCCTGGAGTTTACTCAAACTCATGTCCATTGAGTCGGTGGTGCCATCCAACCATCTCATCCTCTGTCATCCCCTTTTTCTCTGGCCGTCAACCTTTCCTAGCATAGGGTCTTTTTCCAGTGAGTCAGCTCTTCATAAAGTGAACAGTGGGCAGTTCACTGTTTTGGAGTTTCTTTCAGCTACAATGTCAGTCCTTCCAGTGAACACCCAGGACTGATTTCCTTTAGGATGGACTGGTTGGATCTCCTTGCAGTCCAAGGGACTCTCAAGAGTCTTCTCCAGCACCACAGTTCAAAAGCATCGATTCTTCAGTGCTCAGCTTTCTTTATAGTGCAACTCTCACATCCATACATGACTACTGAAAAAAATCGTAGCGTTGACTAAAAGTAGCATAGCTTTTATAAATTCGGGAATGGAGAGGAGATAGGAAAAGGCGACCTCACGGGGGTCTTTATGTGCCCCCACAAAAGTGAAAGGAGCAAGATGAAAAGAAAATGTATTTTTGAAAGGTAATAAAGAGAAAGGGAAAAACAAGAAAATAACTTTTTCTTGATTTACACTGTAGCAAGTTAAGATGAGTTGTGGAATAACAGGTGTTCACTAGGTGGAGTGGGGTGGGGGAAATGATGACATTGCCGGCAAAGGGTCCAGAGAGGAAAACAGACCTGGAGGATGAAATAGAAGAGCCGCCTGGCTTGTCTCAGATTAGTGAGCAGTCTGGGATGGCCGGAGCACATGCCGGGATGACCATGAAGAAGGCTCGGACCAGAGCTGCTCAACTTATTGTTGAGCAACTTACTGTTGTCAACTTACTGTTGTCGTTCAGTCGCTAAGTCGCATCTGACTCTTTGCGACCCCGTGGACTGCAGCACACCAGGCTTCCCTGTTCCCTCAGGACAGGGGCCCAGGTTGTTGGGCAGGAGTGTATTAAGGAAATCAGTATTTAATCTCAGCTGCCTTTTTTTTTTTTTCTGATACTAGCCTGTGTATTTAGCTTTCTTATTTCATTACTGTGATATGCTGTTACCTATAATTGAGTTTTTAATGGATGAGACCAGAATATTATAAGCGTCATCTAATTCAGTAGCTCTGAAATAGAAATAAGTCTCAGTGACTTAAAAAAAAAAAATCCTTAGATTAAATGTGGTCTTGCTAGTAGACATTTTATTATGCCCTATCTCCCCTAACTCTGTACCTGGTCCTTATGTGTTTTTTTTTTCCCCCAGATCGGCTTCAGCTCCCCAGGAATATGATTGAAAACAGCATGTTTGAGGAAGAACCAGATGTGGTGGACTTAGCCAAAGAGCCCTGTTTACATCCTCTGGAGCCCGATGAGGCGGAATATGAGCCCCGGGGTTCGCGACTGCTGGTTCGGGGCCTTGGCGAGCATGAGCTGGACGAGGACGAAGAGGACTACGAATCGTCTGCAAAGCTGCTGGGCATGTCCTTCATGAACAGGAGCTCGGGGCTGCGAAACAGCGCAGCCGGCTACCGGCAGAACTCGGATGGGCCCTGCTCCATGCCCTCTGCCAGGACCATGGCGGTCTGTGCTTTCATCATCCTAGTTGCTGTTTCTGTAATCATGGTGATTTACCTCCTGCCCAGGTGTACCTTTACCAAAGAAGGCTGCCATAAACAAAACCGATCCATGGAACTGATTCAGCCAATCGCAACGAATGGAAAGTTGTTTCCGTGGGCCCAAATCAGGCTGCCCACTGCCATCATGCCAGTGCGCTACGAACTGAACCTCCACCCAAACCTAACCTCCATGACGTTCAGGGGTTCCGTGACGATCTCGCTCCAGGCCCTTCAGGCCACGTGGAGCATCATTCTTCACAGCACAGGCCACAACATTTCCAGAGTGACCTTTATGACTGCAGTTTCAAGCCAGGAAAAAGAAGTTGACATCCTGGAGTACCCACTGCATGAGCAGGTTGCCATTGTTGCCCCCGAGGCCCTGCTTGAAGGGCACAATTATACCGTGAAGCTCGAGTACTCGGCGAACATATCCGCTTCTTACTATGGGTTCTATGGCATCTCCTACACTGATGACAGCGCTGAGAAAAAGTGCGTAGCCCTCCTCGGCGATCCTGCTCCTTTGCTGTCTGATGACTTCTGCAGCATGGGCCTCTGCCCACATCAGCAACATCGACTGCAATTATTATTATTATTTTTAAGAGATTAGGTGCAAGATAATAGAATGGTGATTTAAAAGAGTATACTATAGCTCAGATGGTAAAGAATCTGCCTGCAATGCAGGAGACCCGGGTTTGATCCCTGGGNCTCCCCATTTAGACCACATATTTTGTTCTTTGGCATGCTGCAGTCCATGGCATCACAAAGAGTCAGACACGACTGGGAGACTGAACAACCACAGCATTCTGTTGTTTAACCTTAGTATTCATAGATATAGCTTGAATTTCTGGAAGGATGCAGTGCACAGGTGCATACAGGTTATTCTTCAGTAGCAATAATGTCAGTTCTCTTACATGTCCAAATTCCTTGTCAGATCTGCCTAATGCTTTGGCGCATTCTCTCCTATTCCTTTGCAAAACCAGTGAATTACTGATGCTGGCCATTTGGCTAATGTGTGTTGATATGTTGAGAAGAATAGATGAATATTTTAAACCTAAAGTGTTTTGGTCCTTCTTAAATAGAGAAAGAGATAAGCAAAATCTGTACTCCTATTCAGATAGGTAATTTTTCTCTTTCCCCTTAATAATTTAAAAATGAATGGCCTACTGGCTCTCACCGTGAGCTCTGCCACGAAAAGCAAATTTAAACTGCAGTGGCAGCCTGGGGGCTTCTTGGCTTTACTTCTCCTTTTATAATCTGCAGCACCCTCTAGCATTACAGGATGTATAGAAACAGTGTTCTCAGCATGTGACTAATCTTTGAATAAGTCCCCTAGTCATCTCTTCCATTCAGACTATTGCCACTGGGCGCTCCTGGGCCTGCCCGCGTGTAACTGGAAGAGTGGTGGTTTTGGATACAGTCCCCTGTTGACTCTTGCTATTGGCTCGATTGAGTGGTGAAAAATGCTAGAGAAATGGAAGACAGATTCTTACAATTAAGAAACAGAGTATTTTCTCAAACTCTGCTCTTACAGAAAACACATGTACATTTATTTACTTACCTGGTTCAATAAAATGAATGCCCCACCTAATTGTGTATATTGATGCAAGTTAAAAGTTTAGAAGGTTATGTATACCTTTCAAGGGATCTGAAAACTATAATTCAAAACAAAGTAACTAAGGAATATATTCCTTATCGATTGGAAAATCAAAGTGTGTGTAGATGTCGAATGTACTGACACTGCTTGTCGTAGAGGAACTTGACCTGTGGCATCTATGAGGTGGAGATGGTCAGTGACCTTGCAGTTAAATCTACAAGCTGTTGACGATAGACGTAAGGTTCTAGAGAACAAACTGATACTAGACAAACTAGTAAAGAAACTTAGGGTGGGGATGTGCTTCATTTCTTTGTCCTTCCGTCGCCCAGTGTCACTTTCTTGAACTCTTGAACCATCTTCTTAACTAGACCTCTGACCTCAAGTCCAGCCACAGCCTCCTCTTCTCTTTCCCTCGTCGTCCACCTGGGCTGCCAGACTCGTTCTAGAAGCGCAGACCTGACCATGTTGGTCTTTGGTTTATGATCCTTTAGCAGTTCCTCATTTTCAGGATGACTTAGTTCGGTTTCTTTCTAGATCTGGGAGTGTTGGTATTTTTTGCTTTATCTCACAGCCTTCACCTGCCTTCACGAACTTGATGTGCACTTTCCTGAATTCCACTGATAGTGGCAGCCCATATTTACTTGAGAACTGAAGTGCTAGAAACTGGTGCAAGCATGCTCTGTGTTTAGTTTTTTATCCTGTCAAACTCATGCAGGGGTAAAAATTGTATTTTATTCACTTTTAAGAGGAGGAAGCAGAGGCACATGAAAGAACTCATTCAGCATCTTTTGACTAGCAAGTAGCAGAGGGGAATTCGAATCCAGTCACCAAAGACCACACATTCTTAACCACTGTGGTACACTGCCTCTTTCTTCACCCATTCACACCTCTTTACCCATTGTTATCACCAGTGCTTAGAATTCTTTTACCTGACCCTCAGCTAATTCATAACTGTCTTCAGTGCTGCTGGAGGTGGTACTCAAACTGCAGCTAGTATTTCTGACAGCAAATGCAGTCACTGATGAGAGAACAAGCTTTGCGGTATTCAGCTTAGATTGTAAATATCATCAACCAGCAGCCTTCTCAAAGGGACTTCTATGTAAGAGAGCTATTATTGCATCTCTTTTAACATCTCTTTTAAGCTCTTTTTGGTCTCAGAACATTATAATCCAGTTTTTATCCAAAATGATGGTTCAAGTAGACTCTCATATGAATAGTACAAATGTCATCAAACTTTATCCCCTGGTCTCTTGTGGCCCTCTTCCAAAATCTTCTGTTAACTGGGTACGAATTTGGGAGTTGAGTGGAGAAAGAGAATATTAGAAACATGTTTCAATTGTTTCATGTACGTTGATTGCCATCACTCTTGCAGTTTGCTCGAAGAAGAAATAGTTATTTGGGCATGAAGGAAGAGTTATGACTGTCTAGTATTTATAACAGACATCTGTGTAGGACTTTATGGCATAAATGTGGTTGTTATTATGTATCAAAATAGAATTTTAAAATAGAATCAACACCCCTAAATGTTTGATGAGGGATTCTACCTCAATCCTGGTTTAACAAATAAGCATATGGGATGTAAGTCACTGATTTGCTTAAGTCATATGGCTGGTAAGTTGCAGAGTTTGGGTTTTCTGCCTTTAAATCTTACACTCTTTTCCTCTCGCCTTTTAAAAGTATCAGTAGAAACTAAGCCCTAAGGAAGCAAGGCCATCATCTCCAAAGTGGTGGTTGTCTGAGTACCATATTGACTATATTGATTATATTGATCTGTGCACACCAGCACCACTTTTGTGCTGATTGCTCTAGGGCCATGTTTGGATGATTTCCCAAAAGCAGATCTACTTTATTCTTCTGCTGAATTAAAAATCTCCATTTCTCATCTATTTATGCTTTTCCACCAACCTTTAGTGGAGGACTTACAGTTAAATTCTCAAGTGTTGTAGCTGTGTTGTAGGAGGGGGAGGAAAAATTTTGATTCACTTCTGAAGAGAGTAAAAAACACCAGCATACTGTCAGATGCCTAGTTTTTTTCAGTCTTTGTCCTAGTGCAGATTGTGAGTTTGAGGTTTCGTGTTACGTAGTCACAGTGTGTACAGATGAATAAAGACAATGGATGAACATCTTTCATACTGTTCTTTGCTCAGAAACCTTTTTAAGACCTCAGTGGCCAGCTGTCACCTTCCACTGTGGCTTCATCTCCAGCCACATCGACATCCACCCCCAGTCCCCAACATGCACGGTGCTTTCTGCTCTTTCTGGACTATACCCTCTTCCCTCTCTCCCTTTGCAAACATTCCTCACTTTTAAAGGCCCTCTTCATATTTCTTCAACAGTTTTCCTACAGTGTCTCTACCACTAGGCAGAATTCCTACCCTTTGTTTCCACTACTTTGTTCTCACCATTAGGACATGATTTACAGCCTGAGAATTTTCGGTCTATTGTATAACCTCTGCCTCTCCCAGTTGATTGCAAATCCTTTAATGCCTGGACTTGTATGATATTTATCTTAGTATCCCTAGTACTTGGCAAGGTGCCTTGAATAGTAGGTGCTCAATAACTGTTGGATGGATTTGCATTCGTTTTAGGTACTTTGCGGCAACTCAGTTTGAACCCTTGGCAGCAAGATCTGCTTTTCCTTGTTTTGATGAACCAGCATTTAAAGCCACATTTGTCATCAGGATCAAAAGAGATGAGCAATACACTGCTTTATCAAATATGCCTAAGGTACTGTTCTGTTCCTTGAATGTAAAATTTTTTGAGTGGATCTCTTTCTTTATTATGAATACTTGGATGCTTCTTTGCCATCCCACTGAGAATGATTAAAATCATATTCCTTCTTACTCTTTCTTAAAATGCTTTAATAAAAGTAAAATATGTATTGGAATCAGTTGTGAAGTCAGCCTGAGAAGCACTTGAGGGAGGAGAAAGACTGGGATGCATGGGCGGGAAATGTGAAGTGTGTGCTATATACTAAAGTTCTGTAAATATTAGTATTATGAACTACTACTAAAGAAACAATAATATTTTGGAGACATGGTGAATTTGCTATTCTAAACTGTGATATTTGATAAGTGTTGAATCACGGTTGACCTTGATGTTTTACTGGTTATTGAAAAAGTTGATACTGTGACGTGGAGGTTTAACAACAAGAGCATGGATATCTTTCTTGTCTGTGAGCTCCGCATGGGAGGTAGTGGGAGTGAAACCAGGCAGAATTGTTTTTACACTGAACAGAACTCAGAAGGTCCTTTTGTGACCTGGAGGCTCAGGTGGCAAGAATCTGACTGCAATGCAGGAGACCCGGGTTCAAGCCCTGGGTCGGGAGGATCCCCTGGAGAAGGGAATGGCGACCCCCTTCAGTATTCTTGCCTGGGAAATCCCATGGACAGAGAAGCCTGGTGGGCTACAGTCCATGGGGTCGCAAAGAATCGGACTTGACTGAGCAACTGACGCTTGGTATACCCGAGAGCTGTATGCAGCCGCATTGGAGGGTCTCAGAACCCCTGTGGCTGGGGGCAGCAACATCTAACTGATTGTAGAGTCAGCCCTCGAGTCCAGAAAAGGCCAAGGACGTGGTCTGTCCTTCAACAAGGATGTCACTTCAGCAGCTCTGCTCCTTACCTTAACTCTTCACTTTAATCTTTCTTTAAGAGAGATTGAGTGCTTACTTGTCTAGGAACCTAAAGCATTTTAAATTCATGGCTAGAAAATCCTGCAAGGCTGCACACATTCCCTCATCTCATGTCTACTGCAGGCTTCTCTATAGTGACGCCTCACCTTTGATCCCGTAGCCTTCTTGTGGTCATCAGCACAGTCCTTTATGAAGCCATTTCAGGTCATTTGGAGGGATTAACCAGCTGTAGCTCCTTCTTGTGTGAATGTATTATTTTTGTAGCAGTAGAATGGAGTATTCTCAGATCATAAGGAAGGATTTTTGTCTTTGGTGGTGTTTTAAAGGGGAGACAGAGCCACTGTTACTGTCTCTAACTTACACTTATTTAAAGCCCTTGTTTGAAACTAAGAGCTTCTTAAGGGTTTTACTGTACTCAGTCTGTCCTCAAGATGAAGGATGGCAGAGGAGACTGAGGCTGAGATCTGTGCTGTTTAGGAACTTGTGCTGAGAAATTAAAATAGGCCAGCATCTTCACTACTTACTTCCTATCTGAATTTTCAGTTGCCCAGTTTGTATGTTGCTGTCACATATTCCCATAGTTACAGAACTGGCATTTTCCCCTTTGCTTGTAGAAGTCATCAATCGTGATGGAAGATGGACTTGTTCAGGATGAGTTTTTTGAGAGTGTGAAGATGAGCACTTATCTGGTTGCCTTCATTGTGGGGGAGATGAAGAACCTGAGTCAGGACGTAAATGGAACCCTGGTATGTATGTCGTCATGGAAGTTGTCTTAAAAACCTGTTTATAAGAGGTTGAGAGGAGTCCTTTCATGATATCTGGCAACTGCTTTATGAAGGAAAAAAAGCTTTTGATTCACCACTCTGACATTTTATACCAGGACTGTTACTTTTACTGAGTTGTTATTTACTGTTTGAATACCTAAAAAATCAATGATTTTTAAGTTCCTTTGAATTTTACTTTGTTAAGAGAATTTCAGTAAGGCAATATATAAAGGCAATAAAGCCTCTAGAACTGTGCTGTCCAGTACGGTGGTCACTAGTTTTATGTGACTATTAGATTTAAAATAAGTGACAGCATTGTGGCTGGATAGGGACTTTCCTGGTGGCTCAGATGATAAAGGATTGCCTACAGTGTGGAAGACCTGGGTTTGATCCCTGGGTCGGGAGGTTCTCCTGGAGAAGGGAATGGCTACCTTCTCCAGTATTCTTGCCTGGAAGAGTCCATGGACAGAAGAGCCTGGCCTGTTACAGTCTATGGGATCGCAAAGAATCGGACACGACGGAGTGACAGACACACACATATTGGCTTGGTAAGATGTCCCTCATTCATCCCTATCTGCTCCCCTCCACCCCTGCCCCAGGAACAACAATTGGGCATCTATCTATGGACAAAAATGCCCTTGTGGAAGACGTGGGGCCCAGCACTATCTTCCTAAAAACCTGAGAGGAGGCTTGCCCTCTCATGCATTAGGTCTCAGCATACAGACCTCAGTCCTGGCTGTGGACCCCATTGTGGCCCACATTATTACTGTAGTCCCTTTGGCTATGGTCTGGGAGCTCGGTAAAACACTGTCTTAGACAATCATGCTTGGATAATAGAGACTTTGTGGAAGTCCAGATTTCTAGCAGAAAAGTTCTAGTATACTTTTGGAGCAAAGCATATGAGTTTAGATGCATTGGAGAGAAAAGTTAGTAAAGACCGGAGAAGGTTACTGCTCTTTCAGATGTGAAGACAGTAATGGGACAATTTAAGGAAACACAGTACCACCAAAGGATCACAGTAATCTTCCAGTAACCAATACCAAAGATGTGGAAATCTGCCATTTACTCAATAAAGACTTCAGAATAGCTATTCCAAGGAAACTATGAACCACAGGAAGATAGGAAAAGGCAATTTGATTAAATCAAGAAACAATACATGGACAAAATGAGAAGTTTAAGAAAGACATTGAAATCATTAAAAAAAAAAAAATTCTCGGTCTGAAAAACACAATGAATGAAATCAAACTTGCAATACAGAGCATCAACAGCAGAATGAATCAAGCAAGAAAAAGAATTTGTGAGTTAGGAGACAGGGAGTTTTATATTACCTGGTCAGAACAAAGGAAAAAGAGTGAAGAAAGCCTGCATGATTTGTGGGATACCATCAGAAGAAACAATTTGTGAATTATTGGAGTTTCAGAAGGAGACATAACAAGCAGTGGGCAGAAAGTTACATTAAAAAATAATAGCTGAAAATTTACCAAATCTGGGGAGAAATTTGGATATCCAAGTCTGTGATGCTTGTAGCATACCAAAAACCTCTGAAAAAGGAAAGGGAAGGAAAAAAACCTGCCAACCAAAAATACTCTGCCCAGCAAAGTTATCCTTCAGAAATGATGGAGTGAGAAAGACTTTTCCATATGGATAAAAGGCAGAGAGCCCCTTACCACTAGACCTGCCTTACAAGAACTGCTGAAAGGAGTGCTTCCAGCTGAATTGAATGGACACTACTTAGTAACGTGAAAACATGAAAATGTAGAACACACTGGAAAAGGCAATTATATAGTAAAATTCAGAATGCTCTAATAGTGTAATGTAGTGGTATATGTATCATATAAAAAAAAAATGAAGTCACTCGGTCGTGTCCGGCTCTTTGTTGACCCCATGGACTGTGGCCTACCAGGCTCCTCTGTCCATGGGATTCTCCAGGCAAGAGTACTGGAGTGGGCTGCCGTTTCCTTCTCCAGAGGATCTTCCCGACCCAGGGATCGAACCTGGGTCTCCCGCCTTGTAGGCAGATGCCTTACCGTCTGAGCCACCAGGGAAACCAATGTATTATATGGTATGTTTAAAGCAATTCTAATAGAGAAATTTAGATTGATAAATGCCTTCACCAAGTAAAAAGAAAAATCTCAAACAACCTAACTTTGCACCTTAAGAAACTAGAAAAAAGAATAACAATCTAAGCCCAAAGTTAGCAGAAGGAAGGAAATAAAGATCAGAGCAGATAAATATATACCAGAAAAAGAGGAGAAAAGGTAAAACTGAGGGTTGGATTTTAGAAAAATAAATGAAATTGACAAACTTTTAGCTTGACTAACTAATAAAAACAAGCTTCAAAATCAGAAATGAAAAGGAGACATTACACTTGATAGAGAAATACAATGGATCATAAGAACCTACTGTGAAAAATTATAGGCCAAGAAATTGGATAATCTAGGAAAAATGGACACATTCCTAGGAATATATAGTCTACTAAGACTAAGTCATAAAGACATTAAAAAAAAATCAACAGATTAGTAAAGAGAGATTGAATTAATAATCAAAAACATCCCAACAAAGAAAAGCCCAGGATCAAATCAGTTTCTCTGGTGAATTCTACTAAATGATTTTTTAAAAAATCTATAGATTCAATGCAATAGAATTCCAATGTAATTTTTCACAGAAATAGGAAGAAATCCTAAAATTTTATGGAACCACAGAGACCTCAAATAGCTAGAGAAATTTTGAGAAAAAAGAACAAAGTTTGAAAGTATCACATTTTCTGATTTCAAGCTATATACTACAAAAATAAAGTAACCAAAATCTTATGCGTGGTATTCAAAAGAGTATGATACTGGCATAAAATGAGACACACAGACCAATGTGACAGAAACAAGAAGCCAAAAGTAAACTCCTGCAAATATGGTCAACTAATATCAAACAAGAGAGTCAAAAATACTTGCTGGGGAGATGGGAGTCCCCTCAATAAATAGTGCTGGGAAAACTGGATCATCACATCCAGAAGAATGAAAGTGAATCTTTATCACTCACCACTCACAAAAACTAACTGGAAATGAATTAAAGACTTAACTGTAGATCTGAAAGTGTAAAACTCCTAGAAGAAAACATAGAGAAAATGCTCCATGACATGGGTCTTGGCAATAATTTTTTTGTATATGACACCAAAGCACATTCAACAAAAGCCAAAAAGTCAACAAGTGGGAATATCTTAAACTGAAAAGCTTCTTCACTGCAAAAGAAACAGCCAGCAAAATAAAAAGGCAACCTGTGAATTGGAGGAAAACATCAGATAGCATGTATCTGCTCAGCTGGTAAAGAATCCGTGCAATACAGGAGACCCCAGTTCTATTCCTGGGTGGGGAAGATCCCCTGGAGAAGGGATAGGCTACCCACTCCAGTATTCTGGCCTGGAGAATTCCATGGACTGTATAGTCTGTAGGGTCACAAAAGTCAGACACGACCGAGCGACTTTCACTTTCAATATATCAGGTAAGGGAGTAATATTCAAAATATATAAGGAACTCATAGAACTCAGTGGAAAAAATACAAATGATCTGGTTAAAAAATGAGCAGAGTTTTCCAAAGAAGACGTACAGATGACCAACAGATGCATGAAAAGGTGCTCAGCATCACTAATAGGAAGGAAAATGCAAATCAAAACCCCAGTGAGATACCACCTCACACCTGCTAGAAAGACTGACATCAAAAACAGATGACAGACATTTCTCCAAAGAAGACATACAGATAGCTAACAAACATGAGAAGATGTTCAACATCGCTCATTATCAGAGAAATGCAAATCAACACCACGATGAGCTACCATGTCACGCTAATCAGAATGGCTGCTATCAAAAAGTCTACCATCAATAAATGCTGGAGAGGGTGTGGAGAAAAGGGAACCCTCTTACACTGTTGGTGGGGATGCAAACTAGTGCAGCCACTATGGAGAACAGTGTGGAGATTCCTTAAAAAACTGGAAACAGAACTGCCTTATGACCCACTTGTCCCACTGCTGGGCATACACACCAAGGAAACCAGAATTGAAAGAGAACCCAGTGTTCATTGCAGTACTGTTTATAATAGCTAGGACATGGAAGCACCTTAGATGTCCACTGTCAGATGAATGTGTAAGAAAGATGTGGTACATATACACAATGGAATATTACTCAGCTATTAAAAAGAATGCTTTTGAGTCAGTTCTAATGAGGTGGATGAAACTGGAGCCTATTATACAGAGTGAAGTAAGTCAGAAAGAAAAACACGAATACAGTATATTAATACATATATATGGAATTTAGAAAGATGGTAACGATAACCCTATATGCGAGACAGCAAAAGAGACACTGACGTATAGAACAGTCTTTTGGACTCTGTGGGACAAGGCGAGGGTGGGATGGTTTGAGAGAATAGCATTGAAACATGTATATTACCATATGTGAAACAGATCTCCAGTCCAGGTTGGATGCATGAGACAGGGTGCTCAGGGCTGGTGCACTGGGATGACCCAGAGGGATGGGATGGGGAGGGAGGTGGGAGGGGGGTTCAGGATGGGGAACACATGTACCCATGGCTGATTCAGGTCAATGTATGGCAAAAGCCACCACAATATTGTAAAGTAATTAGCCTCCATTTAAAATAAAAAATAATAATTAAAAAAACCAGATGACAAGTAACAAGTGTTGATAAGGATGTAGAGGAAGTGGAATCTGTGTGCAGTGTTGATGGGAATGTAAATTGGTGCGGCCACTAAGGAAAACAATATGCGAGGGTTCCTCCAAAAAATTAAAAAATAGTACCAGCATATGATACAGCAATCCACAGGATATATATCTAAACAGGATCTTAAAGAGATGTCTGCACTGCCTTGTTTGTTGCATTACTAACAATAACACTGTTATTCACAGTAATAACAATCTAAGTGTCTGCATGGATGGATAAAGATGCGCATGTATCTATAATATATATGATGGAATGTTGTT